TAGATGCCGCTGTTGCTGCGGCATAATGGGTTAACTGCCTATAGTCTTCGTCTATTCCGCCAGAAGTACACTTTTTGCATTTTGCAGCCTACTAGGGTCAATTAACCCCGCGATTATTTCCAAATATCTGATGGTTTCTAATTTACCAGAGGCAAAGGGAGGATTTGACCGTCTAGGTAGTATCAATACTGGCTAGACGGGAAAGGAAGAAACATGTTATGGTTAGGACGCTAACATGTTTCTTCCTTGGCCGCCTCTTTCGACACCAACGAGAAACGTGAGACATTCTACTTTGCCAGAACCACACTGCCTTATATTAGGGTTTTTTTTTGTCCACAACAAGGAAGCTCTTGGTCTGTATCTCACCTGATGGTAAGTGACGATCAGGCCGAAGGTGGAAGCGAGCTTCACCCGGAATCCTCAACCACGGAGGAACTGGCTATCTTACCTCTAACTGCCGGAACCCGACAATGCTGTTAACATTGTTGTTATGGCGACAGACTTAGGTAAGATGGGTCAATTTATTAATGCGATCCATCGCAAATTCTCCCGCTCCCGCTCCGGCCAGCACTGGGTACCAGTACTTTTGGCGCGGCGCCAGCGCTGGTGCTTGAATCACCTGCGGTCGGCGCCGCTACTTGGACGTCTCCATTCAATTAGCTGCTTGTTCGTAGCCTATTAGGGTCAACTATCATCGTGACCCACTTTTTCTACGATTCTTTGAAGTATTTTTAATTAATAACTGTCATAAACAATCATATCTCTGTTATCTCCTCCAAGAAAGCTATCGCCCGTATTCACAAAAGAAGTTTGCTTAAGTGAAGCAGCAAATCGAAAGCACAGCGTTGAATAGATCTGTGATTGGTTCGTGTGTCACCCTGTGCGTCCACGCGCACTGTGAGACCTCATAGTAATGTATGTAAATACAGGCGTAAATATCTTGTGTGAGGAGTGTCTTAACCACAACAGTCCAGCGTTCGATGGGAATCGAATTAGCGTTCCACGAAATTCGAATTGAATCATCGAGGGTTTGTGACTGCGAGCAAAAGACTGCTTACGCGATATTTAAACACCTTTTAGGGTCGTGTTTTGGGGGAACACTGAGTCTAGGGAAATCTAGGGACTTTAACATCATTAGGATCCGTGCTAAAACTCTTCTAAGAAAAGAAACTTGGTGGCGGTTGGTTAGCATATTTTTCAACAAGTGTAACGTGGTGACTTTTGAGTGATGAAAATTGTTTATGAGCACTCAACACGCTATCCTTAACTTGTCTCGTCAGTCAGCATGACAGGACACTGATTTTCAGCGAGTCATTATTATTACATTCTCGACACCATCTTTGCAGAACATCCTCTACATGTGACCGGACTATCAATCAGCCTATAGTTACTTATATTCGCGATAATTTTATCGCAGCGTGTAATTCATTCAGTGCTCCTAAGCTATCCGTCACTCTACACTTTGTTAGTCAGCGCTTGGAGCGAAGCCAGAGGCGTGACGTGAACATGCTTACGCTTTATCACGATCGATCTTGTAGACAATTGGTGATATACGCAAAATAACCAAAAAAAATTCTCTATCTGATTGAACATTAGACAGACAAGTCAAACATCTAGGACTGGAACTAGAATTTGACCAGTCAACAAATTCAACTACATAGCTATCGAATTAAAAAGTAGCAAGCGATTCACGAGTCGAATCTATCTAATAGGTAATGCGCATTGCTAGGACCTGATGCTTCAAGAACATTTTTCAGCAGCAGATGAGAGTGAAATTAGTGATGGTGATCTTCTTTAAGCAATGAGTGGTTTATAGACGATAACGTATTAATTTGTTGTATTTTTTTAATGTTGGCAAAACCCTTTTCCTTCTTCTTCATCTATGTGGCTTGCAATGAGTCCCGCTTACGTCGATTCGACGGATTTATGTATTTTACGATGCTGTGAATTGTATTCTTGAATCAAATATCTAATAAACTCTATTTTTCCATCTTCTTTCTTTTGGACAATCCATTCTAGATTTCAAATCTACATTCATTCGTTTCAGCCGAAAGACGCGTCCACTGCTGGACAAAGGTCTCCCCCAAGGATTTCCACAAAGACCGGTCCTGCGCCGAAATATAGATTACCTTTAACAAACTAGAATCTTTCATTATCACCATCATCATCATTTCAGCCATAGGCCGTCCACTACTAAACATAGGCCTCCCCCAATGATTTCCACAATGGCCGGTTGGTAGCGGCCTGTATCTTTATCAAACTAAGAAGAAATACTCACAGTAGCTTCACACTACCTATGTCTCACTGGTGTGGGACCTGCATAGAAATATTTCCTCAAGTATTGATGATCAATTCAGCCATTCACAACCGTCCGGCAATCAGTCATCGTACATTTTACTACTGTTTTCTGGAGCGGCGCCATGTTGCGGTGCGGACGCACTGTAGTAAAGTTTGGACAGTAAAAGAGCCATAAATAAAAAGCTTGGATGCTTCCAGATAAGCGGAACCGATGGACACAAGTTTGATGGGAATACAAGTTTTGTTTTGGATGATCGATTATAAAAATTGCTTCTTGAGAATGCATGCATAAAACAAGATAGCGTAATTCTAATCGGAATACAGCAACTAAAGTAGGTAAGTAGTCTTGAGTAAATATTAAGATTTTATCACTTATTTTTAACAATTGCACTCATTAGGAGCAATTATTTTAACAAACAAACTTTATGAAGTTAATTTTGGGTCAATTTTACGGGATAGGAGTGGTCTTAACATTAAAGACAATAACGCGTTTGCTTTCAAGGTGGCTCATATTGCATAATCATCATATCATATCGCTTCCACCTTCGGCCTGATTATCACTTACCATCAGGTGTGATACAAGCCAAAAGCTTCCTCGTTGTGGATAGAAAAAATCATGACAAATATAAATTTATTTGAACCAGGAATGAAAAACACAGCGTGCTATGGAGAGGGCTATGTGTGTGTAAAACGCAGCGTGGGACGTCCACCCACAAGGTGGACCGACGACATCATAAAGGTAGCAGGAAGGCGCTGGACGCAAGCCGCTACCAACCGGGCAACATGAAAAGCATTGGGGGAGGCCTATGTCCAGCAGTGGACGTCCTATGGCTGAGATGATGATGATGATGATAAATGAAAAAAGCAGCACCTTTAATTCTGACCTGTATGTGCCAAAATTCCTGTACTATTCCTGTAATAATATGATGTGTACGAGGCCTTAAAATTGATGTTTCGGAGTCTGCGCACCGATTCATCGACGATAACAATAGAGTATTGCTCCATCGCCAAATGGGCCAACTCGAGGGGTGCCAAAAAGGTTTTTGTGCTTAATTGGTAGCTGATAGTCAAAATTACTTTATGTTGTAATGTGATTTTGAGGACATTGGTCTTTATACCCAACTCGTAAGGGTAGAGGAGGCACTCTATTTGCCTCTCGTGAATTGAAATAGCATGACTTGCAATGAAGACTTACGCCCGTATTCACAAACATTACTATGAGCTCTCACAGTGCGCGTGGACGCACACGGTGACATACGAACCAATCACAGAGCTCTATTCAACGCTGTGCGTTCGATTTGCTGCTTCACTCGTTTGTGAAAATGGGCGTTAATGACCTGATGATGATGATAGTTTATTGCGGCCACTTAACTGGGCACTGTACGCTGGGACGTAAATCGCTCGAAACGTTTTTTTGCACTGTAGCAGCCAGAACGTATCAGTGTTTAAGTGAATTATAAAATCAAACGATTGATTTTTATTTTAGCAAAAAGGAGAAGCGATTGCTCATTGTTCAATGCCTACCTGACCCGATTTTTATTTCAACAACTAGCGGCCGCCCGCGACTTCGTGCGCGTGGATCTCGTTCTACCCCCCCTTCATCTATCTTACGCGGTTCAGATTTTTTCATACAAATGTTTTTTCCCGATAACTCCCGTTCCCGTGAGAATTTTGCAATATCCTGTTGTAACTAAGCTTTAAGTTTACTAAGGTACCTGCATGCCAAATTTCAAGAGTCTATCTTACGCGGTTTAGATTTTTCGTACAAAAGGATTTTCCCGCTAATTCCCGTTCCCGTGGGAATTCCTAAGTATCCTATAACCTGCCCAGGAGTATGAAGAATAATTGTACCAAGTTTCGTTAAAATCAGTCAAGTGGTTTTTGTTTCTATAAGGAACATACAGACAGACAGACAGACAGACAGACAGACAGACAGACAGACAGACAAAAATTTTACTGATTGCATTTTTGGCATCAGTATCGATCACTAATCACCCCCTGATAGTTATTTTGAAAATATATTTCATGTACAGAATTGACCTCTCTACAGATTTATTATAAGTATAGAAGATAATGCACATTTCATTAACACATAATCGACTATTTCATTAGTCAATTTACTATTGAACTTCAAATAAGTATATCGATTTAACATTTCATCATTAAAGTAAACATTTTTTTTTTTTTCAATTTCCAGGCAGCCCTAAAGCCAAGCTTTTACAAGAAAAAATAATATACGATAGATCAATGGCAGACTGTTTCCATTGATAGCCTGGATCATTGTTTCCACCGCTGATGACTGAGCGGACTAATTATAACTTCAAAGAGTGTAGACGTCTCAAAGGCGGTGATTGAAAAGTATTGTTCAATTGTTCATTACTGAAAAAGATTGTTTTGTTGTACCTTTGCCGACTGTAAGCGATTTTACTTAAGGCTTCTCTCGGCACTTATTGTTTTTGAGGTTCATTTGCTACCTAACTTTATGTACTTATTTAGTTACATTAAAAATAACAATAACCTAAAAGAAACACGATGCTATCAATAAGTCTCACAAATAGCCTGAACATAGGCCTCCCCGAATGACTTTGGTACAACGCACGGTTGGTAGCGGCCTGCATCCAGCGCCTTCCATCGACCTTTATCAGTTCATCGGTTCACCTTGTGGGTGGATCTATTATTATTGAATCAGGAAGGTATCTTACCTCCAAGATTTCATCTCCGACTTTGACCGGCGGCGAGGCCTTAGCAGCCGCACCGGCCGGGTGCAATCCACAGACAAACACTGCCATCCGGCTCCTGTCCCGGTGTCCCGCCAGGGACAGTCCCAGTCCCGCCTTAGGGGTCCTCTCCAGCTTGACCGCCACCACGCTGTCACCGAGGTTCGCATACTTCTTGCGGATTTTATCTGGAAGAGAATGAGGTGTTAATTTTTGGAACTGGAACTACGAGTAGTAAGAAGATAAACTATAGTAATATTGCCGACATCTATGTAAATAAAAATGAATTGCTGTTCGCTAGTCTGACTAAAACTCGAGAACGGCTGGGCCGATTCGACATTTTTATAAGAATATAGGAAAGGATAATGCTTCTTAACAAATAAAGGTGACTGGTTACTTTAGACAAAGTTATCTCAAGATGAGAGCCTGAAATCTGAATCCTGAATTAGGAATTTCAGGGAGCCTATTTCCATTTTAGTCAGGAAACTGGACTTAGGGCCTTATTTCTATCATTTAAATTGTTCATCCAACCGACAACTACCTGAAATCGTTGAAATTAAGCAGGAGGACCGTACCACACTAAGTTTTCTTGCGTAGTCTCCACTAGAGAATCCATCTGAGTACTCTACATTTTTCAAGAACCGCACTTAGTAGAGCGTGTATCTCCAGTTATACACGGTTCGTCAGAACGTACCCATTTTGCCTCTCCCAAACGAGTCCTCTTTCCAGCGATATGCAAACCTTCTACAAAATACTTCAAACATTTAACCTCAAGAAATATCCCCGAGCCAACATGTCCCGGAAGCGACCCTCACAATGCGATCTTGTGTACACAGCCTAATGTGGGCTCTTTTGTTAGTTGACAATGGTAGGTCAAGTGTGTGCCGGCCCTTACCTGGACGGGGGACTGTAATTTGGGGAAAATTTAGGAATTTTTGTCTACCTATTCGATTACGATATCCTCGAAAAAGCTTTTATAAGAAAAGAAAAATCTACATATAATGTAGAATTTGTATAATATCGGATCAATTTTTTTAAAACAGAAATATTTTTGTCCAGTTAACTTCTAAATAAAAAGAAAAACAGATTAAAATCGGAAAAAAGTACTCAGATAAAAAATGTCAAACTGTTAACACAATAAATTATCTATTTCCAAGGGGGTTAAAATCAATGCAAAAAGTAATCGTAAATAAAAAACATACCAGAAATAAACTACTGTAACATTCAAAACAATTGCTAGCCACACTCGATTGAATTCTAAATGACGTCGCATCGCTCGATGGGGTTGAAAATAGAACAGAACAATAAAATCGAATAAAAACTCTATGAATATCAATATCGAGACTATTCAAAATCAATGCTATGAATGAACAATGGACTTATCAGTGAATGTTTGAAACGTATGAATAGTTGAGGTAAAATAAAATAGAAATTGAACACAAAGCTTTGCTATAAATAAAACAAAGGTAGTGAATTTTAGGTAGAAAGATCTAATTACAGAAACTAATTAGTAGTAAGATCTAATGAATGGAGTTTATTTTGTTTTCATTATATCAGAGGGTCTTTGAGATAATTAGGTTCGTATTACGAAATGCGTGTGATACCGATATTTGGCCCAATCTTAAGTTAGAATTTACTCTTGAGTGTAGATTAATACCTAACTCTAATATAATTTCAAAATACGGATCCCATACTATTGTCAAGTATTGCTTAGGTAATTCTTTATAACTTTCCTAATAAGTTTCTTGCAAGGTTGCAAGAGTTTGAACAAGACAAGTGTAACTAGAAAGACAACTTCTCGCGCCACTTGAAGTAGCCTACTTCTGTCCCTAATCACTGCTCTACATTATTTACCTGAAGTAAGAAAAAGTTGTATTTTTTCATACTTATTACTTTTTGTATTACTGAAACAGGAGTCGTCAAATATTTTTTACCAAATTCTCACAACGTCCCACCAGCACCCAACATCATGGTGTCCCTACAAAAGCAGATATTTGTTTAGGAAAAAAGCTGGAACGTTTTCGGGTGGCCGCAATTAATACCACAATAGGAACACTGCCAGACGGAGCCAGAGATCTGGCAAAGGTTCTGGATCGTTACAAAGGGGGGATTAGGGCTTGGCTGTTTATGGGGGGTTATTGTTTGTCTAGGATTCAAGTAATACTTGATGGCAGAACTAAATAATCATTAAGTCAACTAAGTAACAATATAGATTATCATAGTATAAGCTTTGCTTAGTTTGGGTAAGGATAAAGCCCAGTTGCGCTTGTGGTATGACATGTTCAGTTTACTCTATCGAATTAAACACAAAAGTATTTATGAAAAACATATTATTATGTAACTTCTTTAAAAATGCATAAGAAACCTAACAAGTGTAGGTAACTACATTTCCCTTGGCTCCCAACTCAAGAAAAAAGCTTTTTCTTTTACATTCTAAAATGTGGCCTAAAAGAAAACCACTAAGTAGTTCCAGCTCACTTGTGCAGCTTCTAAACAGATGCACTATGACGTCAGCCAGTCAATACCGAGCTTAGGTCAAGAGCGAGCCCGATGAGCGATACACCATGCGCCCTGTATACAGGGTGGCTTTGAAAGCCAAGTAGTACTAAAAATTTTATTGACTCAATGAAAAGTTACTGAATATATTTATTGATTAATTCAATTAAGGGTATTTTGACTACATAATATCATTTTATTTATCATTTCAGGCTCAATACATCCACTGTTGAACATAGGCCTCCCTCAATAATTTCCAGATCGGCTGGTGGGAAGCGCCTTTCTGCAAACTTTGTGAGGTCATTTGTCCACCTTGCGGGTGGACGTCCCACGCTGAGAGTTTCCAATATTATGAACTCTATTCTAGTATCTTTCTGCCCTATCATGACTACACCTCAATATAATAGACAAAATGACTGATCAATCACACTAGAAAATTTTCTATCACATTTGGCTCATTTGACAGACTTCAAGCTCTACAGCTCTTAATCTAAGTGGTTCGGCAAAATATAATCTTACATCAATATAGCAGCATCAAATTGACCCCTACTAAAACCAGAACAACACCTACAAAAACCTAGTACAAATACTAGCTCCCGTCACTCGATAATCCGCGTCCACATAATCACTGTGTTAACCCTCAACTGCCCACTCAGAGCGCTATAACCGTGACATATTATCTCCGCGTGGCCTCGGAGACCCTTTTTATTCCCGAAACTGAGAAAGTCGACTGAGAGGGCTGTTTATTCGGTTTAAACTTTCTTAATAAAAGCCTGGACTTGGCGGCTAGTGATGTATAACGATAGGGCAGAGTCGATAGAGTGTATCGATAGTGTAACAAAAGAAGTTACAACTATCTATGGATACTGTTGCCAATGGTTTACATATTATAGTTTTACGCTCACTAGTAATAAATGTATCAAAGATGTGTTCATAAAGAGCTTTCGATAATATCGATACTAAATATTATGCAACTGAGACGATGTAAAATAAAAATTACTACTACTGCCTTTTAATAAGAAACATCTGTATATAGACTCATAAGTAGATAATTATTTTGGTCTCGTTCTTTAAAACTGTTAGATTACAGGGAGAGAATATTATGTAATTATAGTAACTATAATAGTATAGGTATTATACTAGTTTACTACAATATACAATAGATATGAATAGAATGGTTATTGCTCCAAAGCACTGTCAAATAAATAAATAAATAAATAAATAAATAAATCTTTGGACAATTTCACACAGCGCCAGCTAGCCCCAAAGTAAGCAACTTAATGCTTGTGTTATGGTTACTAGCTTAACGGATATACTACTTATATACTTTTTTTTTTTAAATACATACATATTATACATAGTCACACCCAGACCCGTCACAGAAATTAAAATTCATCATTTCAATTTCTGCCCGGCCGGGAATCGAACCCGGGACCTCTCGGCATAGTAGTCCGTTCTGAACCACTACACCAAACGGCCGACATATTCACTAGAATTTCACTAGAATTTGTGATGTGTTAATATTTGTCGATACTTATCGACTTTTTTCAACTGTTTGAGAGTTTCTATCGATGGATCCTTCCACAACACTACCGCCAACTGCCACCCTATATGAGTTGGAGCTGGCATGGCGAAATACTGTTATGGTGTCGCCCGAAAGTCGGAATTTACTTATGGCACACACCCTCTACCCTATTTCAGGTCAAGAGGCGAGTTACACCCGGTTTGTAGAGTTCTGTGCCTGCAAAACGTAATTTTTGGCCCTGGGTTGTCTGATAGAGAACAATTCTTTTCGATTTGATCGCATAAAATTGTGCCGTTTCAATTTTGTATTTTGTTATTGCCAGTTTTGTGTAGATTGAAATTTATAAAGGTACTACTTGTTTTCTAACGGCCGTATTTACAAACGAGTGAAGCAGCAAATCGAACAGCGTTGAATAGAGAGAGCTCTGTGATTGGTTCGTGTGTCACCCTGTGTGTCCACGCGCACTGTGAGACCTCATAGTAATGTTTGTGAATACGGGCGTAAATCCACTCGATGGAATTACATAGGTTCGCACCGACATCGGCACATCCTCCCTTATTGCAAAGACTTAAACTCGAGTTAATCACTGTATTTTAAATTGACATTTAGTATGGAAAATGGAAATGTCATTTTAAAACCGTGTTCATCGCGCGTTTAACTTTTCCGTAATAAGGCACAAAGAACTTTGTAAGCCGGTTCATTTTCTCCACCTTTTCATTATTTGGAACGTGTTTTAAGTACAGCAGCATATTTTCTCATACAGAAGGCTACCTTAAAGCCACCATAAACGCTGACTAAGATGGTAGTCCATGAAACAGTACAGTGAGATACAGCAGCGCATCGATCGAATCGCGGCCGATAACGCCGTATCTTGATTCCATTAAGCGCTGTAAACTTGTACAGGCGAGCACAAAAGTGGTAAGGGTTTTACTGATTCGCTGACAGATGAAAGTAGACAATTCAGTTGACTTAATGTCACTTTCATGCGCGTATATTTTATAGCTTTTTCCAAAACTCAATTTATTGTGAGTGAATCCCTACTAATATTATAATTGCGAAAGTCACTCTGTCTGTCACGCTTTCACGCCTAAACTGCTAAACCGATTTTGATTAAATTTNATAATTCATGCTAAATCATGTATTTCCTCCGCCATTTTCCGCAGTTTG